TAAAATAAAATAAAATAAAATAAATAAAATGAAAGTGCCCGAAACTTATCAGATCCATTTTAAAATGGGAAGAAGATGTTCAAATAAAAGGCAAAGGCATTCACTTTAAAGAAAATGTGGATTGAATGCCATAGGCCACACAGGTGGTGACAAAATGAAAAATGTAATCAATAGGGTCTGTGCTGTCCTTACGCAGAGCGCACCATGGAGATGCAGTTTCTCCTAAGGAACAGCTCTCGGGTTCACGCAGGGAACAGCAGCGAGAGCTGTTGCACAGAAAGGAAGGAACAGTGTGCACTCCATGACCAAATGAGATGAGATCCAAAACAGTAGCAACCAAACATGACACCCTCCTAGGAGCAAATGGACTTCGAGGACTCACAGGTCAGAGAACAGATTAGGAGAGGTTTAAGAAGGAACTGATGCCGTGACCTGCATATAATTTGTCTCTAAGCAATGAAAAAACCCCACAAAGTAAAAATTCTGAACTAAAATTTAGAGCATAGCTATTCCATTAACACTGGACAGGCAAATCTTTTACAATTATAAGGTAAAGATCAGAAATTTCTAGCTCCCTTGGAGCACTGAATTTATGCTCAGTTGTGTTGTTTTGATTATCTATAATTCTTGGTGGGATATTTTGGACTCTGAAAAGATGTTTTGTTTACAGTATATTTCACCATATATTTCTGTTGTGAGAATGTCAGTTTTCCCTATTTTCTATTATAAGGAAACAAAAATTCTGTCATTCGAGATATATTTCTTGCCATCAAGTCAGTGTATTTGTCAATGTAGTACCTTCTAAACGCATTTCTCTTTCTGAAGCCTACCTAAAAATACTAATGAAACCAGACCTAATTGTTTTTAAGTTTGCCATTTAGTGCTTAAAGATAACCAAGCGTACTACCTTAGGTATTAGCAAAAAGCTAATGTATTATCAGAATTATAAGAATGGACATAAATAGCAGACATAGCAAAGAAGTGCATTAGAAGCATGAGAACTGAATTATCTATAAAACAAAAATAAAGCAAAATAAACAAACACATTCTTAAATAAGTCACCTGCGCTGAACCTGTGCTAAGATATTTTCCTTCTAACAGTTTAAGTCTGTCTTACATGTATTTTTCAAATAACGACTACAAAGGACGCTGCTTTTCCAGTTAAGTCTCCTGATAAACATGCAGTCTCTGTAATATATTTGATCTAGTGGCCAACCTGAAGTATACTTCAAATCAAAGTAGTTTTGACATGGAACGCACTTTTTATCTGGGTTAAACTAAGTCAGTATTTAACCTCACTACATTAATATAACCTTACAAAAGCTCTGATAAAGCAGAACTGCTCATAAAGTAATAATATGCACACAGATTGAGTGACAACAACTCCCACATTTTCAAAGACCTGAAATCCACAAAGACAAGCACAGGTGCTTAATTTTGGGCACTGTATTCAAAAGCATCTTAAGGAGTCATACTGTAAGTTAAAAGATGGCTCCAAAGATAAAGGAAAAAAATTGCAGTAAATTAAAGCAGAGTTCAAAACGTGAAACACAGAAAGCAAAGAACAAATCACACTCTAAAATCTCTGCTAAAATATTTTTAACATTTTAAACCAAGTAACACTGATCCCAAGTACAGAAAGCAACCGACTTGCACTCTGCTGACACATAACCGAAGCTCAAACATCTGCTCTCCTGTGTGTTAGCTCAGCATGCGTGAAACTAACATGCACAGAACCATGAGAAACTGAAGTGCAAGACATCTCCACCTGGCCCATTTAATGAAGTATGGCAAATGGTTGAGCAGGTTGAATGTGTAGAAGGAATATCGAGTAATCTCTGTCACAGTCCATACGACCAGAAAAAGAATAACGCTCTCCTCATTCTGGATCTGCAGAAGTATAAAGAACCAACACTTTCTTCATCCTTAAGCTTCTTTTCTGTGCAAACTGCAACAGACTTCTGTTTAAGATATATGCAACAGAACTAACATCTTGTAAAGAAAGAAAAATTTGGCATAAAAGTAATATGCTGAAACCATTACCATGCATAGTTATTTATCATATGTATTTACTAACATACAGACATTTTGCAAACTGAGCAATCTTTATCCATTATGCAAATATCAAAATATAAAGTCCTGTAACTGATCTTATTCCTCTTCTTTATTGTTTATCTGCATTTTCACTGTGGTCTCTAACTGCCTCCCTCTTTTTATTTGTGGTTGACTTACTTCTTTATTTTCTTATTCCTCAAAACAGCAAGAAGAAAACAACACTACAGAAGTTACATTCCTTTCATAATCAGTTTTACTTATTCTGCATTTCACTACTTTGTCTTCTAAACTTTATCTTTTTTAAAAATCTTGCTTCTTTCTCACCACATAAAGCACATGAGACTTTAGACAAAAGGAATTGCTTAGTATAACGTACTAACAAGAACTTAGTGGCAGAAGATCAAATTTAGCAGACTTCAGGGAGCTGTAAGATAGTTACGGAGCTGGAACACAGCTAGATCACTAAATGAAAAGTAGTTGGTAGATCAAGGGCTTTGGGTAAACTCACTCAACAGTCCCATTTAAGATTTAAGTTCTGAGTCATTAAACTGCCTCATCGGTAGGTAGCACAACTATCTGCTGTTTCAAAACATCGGTTCTTTTTCACTCTAAGTGAACAAATAAACAAAAGTCCCCAAATACAGAGAAGGCACATGGGGATCTATTACAAACACTACCTTCTGAGAAGAATTACACGCAAGTAATTTTCTTTTCTTTAAAAGGGGAGGAATTTTGTAATACACTTCCATGCCTGAAGGCTGAAAAGCTCCAGGGATGTCTGTGAAATAAAATAAAGTAATACAAGCTTTGTTAAAATTACAAAAAAGGGAAACATTATTTTTTAATAAAATGCAACATGGTGACAAAGCTTAATACATCTCAAAGATGCTGAAAATGCACAACTCTGTCAAAAGTCAAGAAGAATTATAAGTGCTTACTATCTCATAGAATTGCGCCCTCAATGTGTCAGCCAAAGAAGGTACACTTTTAGTGAAAGGATCTGACCAACATAACAAAATAAAAGGAGATCTAAAAATACCCACAAATGCACAAACAAGTAGCAACAACTGGAGTGCAAAGACATCCAAACAAATAAGCAAAGGGAAAGACAGAACTAGGCTGCTCTTAGCCTCATGTGATTAGAGACAAACATTGATAACTTAAACTTGGATTCATGTCACAGTGCTAAATCCAAGCAGAAGAGCTTTAAATAAGTATGCAGAGAACTCCTATCTGTTGCCTTGCAAATGTCCAGTCAAGAAGAGAGATCTGGGTCTGGTTATTATCACTAACAGTCCTCTCACCACCTAAAGTGACCCTGAACATTCATGCCTGCTAAGCGATAACAGCGTGAAACACAATCAAGACATACATTCAGATGTATTTTTTCTCGGACACAGCTTGACCTACTGCACTGAAGATAGAGGAAACAAAAGAAACGACAGAATATGCTAAAGATATAATCCACCGCAGGTAGTACCAAAATGGCAAAACGCAGTGCTATATTCCATATTCCAGTATTCACATAAACATTCAATATAAAAAAACTTGTTAATCTTTGAGACATTTTCTCTTAAGAGAAAACTGAAAACACTTAGCTTACAAAAAAAAATAAAAAGCTACAAAAAGCTTATTTCATGTTAAGAAAAGCGACAGTAAAGGAAAACATGAGGTGCTGGAAAGGAGTCCTCTGTGAACTGAAACAAAGGGATTTGACAACTGAGGCAGGCGCTGTGATAGCCCATCAGCAGAAAGGCACATGCCATCTGCTGGTGAGACAGTTTAATGGCTCAGCTTTTTAAGTTTGAAGCAATTGAGGAGCACAGATTCAAAATCTATCACTTAGTTCTCATGTGCCCTTCACAGAAAGCAGACCTCAGAAACTACACTGAATGTCCTATCTGCTATCTGTAAGCAGACTGCTTGTTTCAATCCTTTCAAAAATCACTAGACTTACAGTAACCACCTACAGCCAGGCAAATGAATTATCATCATTTATACAGGCCCTTAAGTGTCCCTGTGGCATGCTGGATGACCTGATAGATTTTTAATGAAAACAGTGCAGTAGGCATGCCATCAAATGTTAATATTTCCATAACATTAAAATCTTGAGAACGTTCCTAAAGTAAGTTGCAATATCACAAACATGTTTATCCAGGTAAATTCAATTTAAGACATATTTTCATTTTGATTAATTCAGTAAGTCCTAATTTAAGTTTTTGAAAGGGAACCAGTAACACTGTGATAGATTTGCTAGTAAATAATAGCAGTAGTTGTTGGTTTCACTTAGGCAGACCACAGCTGACATGGTGCCAAACGCAGTGCCAATTTACAGTTAGACATAGTCTACTGGGTAGAAGCACATAAATTCCGTCCTGAAACTTCTAAAATCGCACTCAAGTAAATATTCTCTGGAAGAATGTCGTCAATTTTTAAACTGGTCTTCCTTGTGAAATGAGAACTGTATTAATAGCTTCTCCTTTAAAACAATCAAAGCACAACTTGCCCACGCACGTACCTGTTTTATGCTGTGTGCGATGAACCACACCATGAAGATTCTTGAACTCACTTGGACCCCAGTCACAAGCACAGATGTGCGAACTATTCCTTAAAAAGAGAAACTTGTTATCTCTGTTCCACAACTCGTGTTTTAACTAGTTACAGGAGAAACTAAAACAAAGAACTCACCAACTGCACAGTGGACTACCTGTAAATAAAAATAAGTTGGAGGTTACTGATGTACCACGGCCTTTTGATATTAATATAAACCTAGACTTAATTCTGAAAGAGAACTGGTTTTTTTTTTCCTCCAACAGTCATTACAAGAAATACACAGCAGAGCCCTGGCAATGATGGGTTTAGTATCTGATCCACGCAAACACATGAAAGAGATTTATTTTCCTAATTAACTGTCTATACTACATATTTAGATAATTACAAAGCTTTTATTTTTTCAACTAGTAAGCTTCCCTTCCATTATCTTATTCAAATAAGAATTTTACAGGACAGTGTGGAGGGAGTCATATGCTAAATGCATAGCAATTTTAAAATGTTCTGTATTCATTACCAATTAATAACATTAGTGTAATTTTGCCAGTGAGAGCTATGAAGTTTCAGATTTATTGCATTTTCTGGTCAGTAATGTTTAACAGTGTTTTTCATTACTTTGACAGATTTGAGTAGAATTACTTATTGTGAAAGTTTAATAGCATAAAAGCCTATATACAGCTGGCCTTATGATTTTAATAGTTGCTTGAACTACAGATGTTGCAAGCAGATCGAGAAAAAATGTAGATAGGCACTCTGTTGTGCCTGGAAAAGACCTGTAAGTGCTCGACACACCCAACGGTTTTATTCCACGATGTACCGTAAACTGAGACCACTAGCGCATAGTTGGCAAAAGTCGTATTATTTAAAGAATACTTTGCACAACTTGCACAGACCCTGTTGTAATGGATTACATGGGGCATAGGAATCCAGTCTGGAAGCAGAAGCAGGAAAAGCACAGGAGGATGAATCCAGTACAAGAAATAAGAGGGAAGCTGTCAGCTCTGGAGATGGAGACGAGATACCGACAACGCTGGAGGGTTGATCTGTTGGCTGGAATGCCTTCAGAGATTTTGCCTTTTGAGTTAAAGAGTCTCAAATCAAACCAGTTCCCATGCAGTATTTGGTTTAAAGAAATATTAGAATTAAGTTTGAAAAAAATGGGCCCATTTGTTTCAACCAATCACCTTGCCCCACCAAAAAACCTTAATTAAATAATAAAGTTAAAAGGACTTTAAGTACTAATATAATATTTTGATATTAAATTCATGTTAATAATATGTTTTGCCTATGATATGCAGCATCCAGTAAAGCAAACTAATGTTTAAAATTTACCTCAAGCAAAGCAAATGTCTGGAAAAATTTAAGCGTCCTTTGAACGCTTCTGAATAAGCCTCTATGTGTTCCTTTCTGTATATAAAACCGCACCATGGCAATACCTAACACCAGCCACCTACAAAAGAAAGAGAATGGATACATTTCAAATTAGAATTCTAAAAATATCCATCCACTGTAAATAATTTAGTACAATATTTTCTTCAGAGAATATCTTTGCTTCTTCACTTGTTGGTGTTCTTAGGAGATCATAAAAAATATCTTTAGACATAAATATTATATAATGTTATTTAAACATTGCACTCTTTTATCTCTTTACTCGGAAAAGGGTAGAGAATGACTTGTTTACCTTCAGAAGATTGACTTGAATTGAGGGGACTCCAAAATAACATGAGCCCATCAGACTTTTCACTAGCAGTGACTACGTATTTTTATTATTAAATCATAGAATGATACAATGATAGAATCATAGAATGGTTTGGGTAGGAAGGGACCTTAAAGATGATCTAGTCCAAGCCTGCTGCCATGGGCAGGGACACCTCCCACTAGACCAGGTTGAATCCCCATGCATCTTTACTGTGAATTACTGTTATTTGAAAACATGTGATGAACTCAGCAACAAAGCCACCACTTTGGGTCGCAGGTTTGTGTAAGTAAAGGACCAGAAGCTATCCACATCAATGTTACATGTTTCACAGGCCTTCAACTAGTAATTTTCAGAACTGACCAGTGATCTGAATCCTTCTGTTTGTGATTGTCCGTCTGAAGATACCATTATAATTCAGTTTTCAAAAGTTTTGAGAACTCATCTTTGAAAAGCAGACTCCAAACTGTTTAAAGATGGATGCTCTATGCTCCTGGCTTCCAGAAGCTGGTGTATTTAACTAGCATGCTTGATGGTGTCAGCTAATTTTTAATTTTTTTTTTAAGGAAACAGAACAATGATACCAACTGATAACCCTTCCAATGTAAAGGAAAGAAAGTAACAGTATCTTTTAATCAAAATGGAATTTGATAGAAAACTTCAATTGGGATCTTAAATGGCAATTGAGACCAAAAAAAATAAACCTCTAAACTGTGGTGGGTTGATTCCCACCACCCAGCCCAGACTCAGTACAATAACCCAAGGCTTGTGCAATTCCTTCCACATAATTAATCTATGTTAATACAATTAAGATTTTCAAAATAGTGTACTATACATTCCATCTTTAATGCAGAGCTACACCACATTCTTACAAACATCATGCTAGCAAGATGCTTTGAAGTTTCAAGTTTCAACCCACAAAGACTAAGAAAGCACAAAAAATCTTTAATACATGCTTACAGGCATAATCAGAGCTATGGATGGCTACTTTTAGAGTTAAAAATAAAAATACAAAAACTACAATAACTTTAGCTTAACTTCTTGTCTGATGATATTGGAAACAATTACTCTGTCCTTTCATGCTGTACAGCAACAAGCTTTGCCTAAGGAAGGGCCCAAGTAAGAAAGTAGAGGGGTCTGAGAAATACTCAGTTTCAGAAAGCATATAAACATTCAGCTAAATATTAATATAAACATTTGGATAAATATCTAACACATCTCCTGTTCTTATATTCTTCCCTAAGCATAAGGTATTGGCTGAGATCGGAAACAGGGTGGCAGGAAATAATGCTCTTTGGTTCGAGCCATTATGCTGTAAGGGCACACAAGTCGCGTGGATCATGACAGCTCTGTTCACCTCGGGTGGTTCGCACTTCACTATCGGCCCCTTCACAACTCTTACGCACAGGGGCTACAGCTACGCAGCCGCTTGGCACAGCCCATTCCAGCACTTCATGACAGTGTTTCAAACTCATGCAAGAGTTAGTCAGGGTTCCCCACACAATAGAAGCAGTTCCCCTCTTTGATCCCTTCTGCTTTAAGCCCATGAATCTGATCTGCCAGAGCTCTGAAATTTGCCCTTACAAGTGTTACTTAGATTTTATAATGGATTTTAAATCTAAGTGCATCAGTTTGAGGTTGTCTCCTACCACTGTGGAAATAAGGAATTACTGGAGTATCACTGGCAGCCCTTCTCAGTAAAGCTGCTCTGTTTGATAGCGAAGTGTTTGACAAGGGAAGGTGATAGTGAGTTTACCTCCAGCTGGCAGCACGCATGGTCACAGCAACAACTCTGTCCTAGCACTAGCCTGAGAAGTCATAATACATCAAACCTAATAAGGCATTTTCTGCACCTCATTCTGTAACAACAGGGCTGCAGAGAGACGTAGGCTTGGACTACACTCAGAAGCAAAGATTGAAAATATTTTTCTTAAATAAATTTTTATTTGGACATGAATTTCTGTATATCAATTTATTTAGCTGTCAGTGGCGTTGACTCTGGATCTCAGGAAAGCCCTTGTACTGAGTATTGCAAATCACCAGGAAATGGAAAACACTTTCTGTAATAAAGGTAGCATTTCCAGTTAGGACTGTCAGTAAGATTGGGTACTGATCTGTCATTTTAGTCCCTTAAACCTTTGTTAGAAAGAAAGATAAGCTGCAATTTTTTATTAAAATGTTTTTTAACATGTAATTATGTATTAGTTTGTTAAAACTCTAGAAACACTTTGCTATATTGCACTGTTTGGACAAATGGACAAATACACTGTTCTTGTTACTTATTTACCCTGTGTAGTGCGTCCATTAAGTATTGCTCTATTTCAAATGTTTATTCTTAAATTGTATCCATAATATATTATAAGAATTTGTTCCTATCTCTTATTTCTCCGTTTCCATATAAAACACACAATTTTGCATGTCTTAATCCCTTTTTATATTAATGGAAGACAGGAGAGAAGGAAGTAGAAGATACTGAACCAGCACCTAAGGTCAAAACTAATATGATTCGATAATCTTCTACAGACATATAAAAGTCAGTGGCAAGAGTCAGTGTTCATTAGCAAATTCACACATGGAGCAAGAGGCTGAGAGTTGAATGAGGTAACATTAACCTGCCAGCTAGAAAAAAAATATATTGAGTAAATGCACTTTTCAAAAGGTGCTGCTGCAATATACGAACAAACTTGAATGTGTGTTGAATATTCACAGACACTGGTGAGAAAAAAACCATTACGATCGTACTCCTGCCTTTCTGCATCAGTGCTTGAACTCCTGCTTCAACTACAGCGTATCAAGATTCAAATAGCAGAAAGTTCACCCACTGGTAACTGAGGTAAAGTTGTTCTCATGATGATCGTCAGCCTGGAAGTTATGAAACTGTTCTTAACTTTTTTTTTAAGCATGTGGAAATTAATACTTCGGCTTTTTTATTTCCCAAGAGTTAGTGAAAAGGACAAATTTTCAAAAAGTGCAAATACTTGCTTCAAGCACTAACAACGTAAACCTCAGTGCTCTTATGATCTGTTATTCAAAATAAATACCCGGGTTCCTCAAAGCAAAGCACCGCAGTACGCCCCGTGGGTTATTACAGCTCTGTCCCCCTCCTCCCGCCCCCTGCTCATCCCTAAATGTCCTCTGGCGCCGAGGACCACGCTCGGCTGTGGAAATTCTACCTCCCAGGAAGCCGGTGCGCGCTCTGCTCGCTC